AAATAGGAGAACCCAATACAATAGATTATTTTGATTGATATATAAATGCGTAAATGGATATATCTCGTCAAAATTAATGGATCTCCGTAATAACAACTGCTTTACGTGGCTAATCTATTATTTTGTTGAATTTTATAAATATGTATAGCGGAGAACGGAGAAAGTCCCCCGGTCTCGCGCGAAGTTGCAAATCCGAATGACCGAGCGAGTCATACGGCGACAGTTAGCCCACGAAGGGCGAAAGAACAGGGGGCAAGGCGACGTGTCAATTTTTATGTATGGAGTCAAACGAAGTGCACGAAGTTAGCGCAGCCGTAAGCAAGCGCTATATTCCCGGCAACCGTGACGCCCGCTGCCTTTCCGCAAACTAACTATCACCACTTGTGATAACTTTACGCGAACTAGGATGGGACGAGACGAGAAGGAAGTGCGGGTAATCCGATAAGATGTTCCGGACAGACGTGCTCCAACCCGTGTCGAGTCTTCTCTTTCCTTCCCTCCCTCCCTCCGTCCTCCCTCTCTCCTACCCTTTCTCTTGAACATCCCGAACGCTGAACATTCTGCTGAACTACCAAGCTTCTCCGAATACTTCGCCGGAGACAACGAACGGCAATGATTATCTCGAGTTTTTCGAACCGTTTACGTTGTCGATGTTCTTCGGAAGGTTTTTTTCTTTTTCTAAATCCGTTATAGTTCATAGAACTGCGGATAAGAGAAGCAAAGAAGATTCAAGAATGACGATAACGACGACGACTATGTCTGCTATCCATGTCCGACCCACGTCACACGTCGAGAATCCGTCAAAGTTTTGCGAACGCTTTCGAAGCTCGTCGTCTGTCGTGAATGAAATCCTTCTTGTCGCTTATCGGACATCTCTTTGGTTAATTTCCTTTAGTTAACTTTCCTCGATTAAGTGAAAGATTTTCAACAAAAAGAATCTTTATAGCGCACAAATGCTGCCGTACGAAATAAATCGCTGAAAATCGCGGCTATACTTCAGTGTCAACTCAATTCACAATTCTAAACAAGGGACTAATTCTAGAACAAGAGATAATATTTTTTACAATTATTTGTCCAAATTGTGAAATTATTATTTCACCATTTTGCGCGATAAAAAGATCCAAGGATTTCATCGAGTAGTTATTTTTGTTGTGCAAAAAACTAATATAAATAAAATTTTATTCTTCATTTTATTGTAATTGCAATTGTAATTTTATTTATTCATTTATTTTATTGTGCTGTATGTACTATAATTTGTATTATTGTAATTTTATTGGTTTATTTAATTTCGCTATTTTATTGTGCACTATTGTTTCTAAATATCTAGGAAATATTCTACAAAATAAAATAAAGCACATTCGTGAGAAGCAATAACGAGCAAATGGGATAATCCTTACCGGATAACGCCTCGTCGCTGCAAGACGTGGCGAACTCCATACGATCGGGTGTCCTGCAACCGATGTCCAATCTACGTACACTACCGTGGTGGCACTGGCTTGGGAATGCTGTCGAGGGCACTCTCACGTCGTGCACCTCCGCTGCGTTAGCAACGTTCTGCTCGCCATCGACGGTCAATACGTTTTCGACGTTGTCGGCGTTCGGTGGCCGAAACAACGACACAATCTCGTAGCGACCGAGATTGGGACATTGCCTGGTCATCGGGTCGGATGCTGAAAGAGCATAAAAATTATTTATTTCCCTGTGCTATCTTAATTAAATCACGGTCTGCGTTTAACGATTGGCTCGATTTGTTTGCCAATTTTGATATTTTAAAAATTATTTTATTATAAAATATTTTATCTTAATTATATTTCATTTAAAAGGTATATATATATATATATATATATATATTATTTTTAAATTAACTATTTATTATTATA